AACATATCATTCCAAAGTAAAACGGAAACTGAAGGGGAGGGAAGGTCGGTTCTTATTGTACGTAATGCCAAAACACCCGTTACTACGGGGGCAGGTATGACAAGGGCAGGGGGAGCACTAATAAGCCTGAGAATAGCCTAGATTCCATTCATTTACCAAAACACGTTAACTTCGTCATTAGGGCACTTTGGTGTTATGCACATGCATGAATGCGAGATCCTACAAACATCTCTTTACGCATGCGTAGAAAAACAACAGTCAAAAGGATGAATAGGACGAGCGATAAAAGGCTTTTATATATCAATTATAAATGCACACAACTTCAAATGTATTTAATTAGTTACAAGTATAAAGACCGGACAACTACAGCTCGGAATACACTGGTAGATCCCAATTAAGGTACTACTGCAGCGTACATGTTGTGGGGAACGCTGGGAGTATCATTGCTCCGTAATTGTTTGTTTACATGTTCATTCATGTAAGTTACATGTATCAATCAAAACTACAATCATGCCAAGCTTATAATAAATCAGTCATGTTTCAAAGGATAACTACAGAATCAAAAGGATTTGGATATGTATAGTATACACGTAATGGAGTAAATAGTCAATTACAGATCTCCTCGACATTAAAACAACGTAAAGTCTTTGAACAAGACCTGTAAACCTGTAGCTACTGATACATTTATCTGTGATTTATGTTCGTCAAGACATATTTACACGGACACATTCATATTTACTCTGTAATTTTCAATTACACAATACATCTCCAGCAAACAGGCAGACATACACACATAGGGAGATATTAGCCAGGTGGCGTAGGACTAGTAGTAAGCGTCTAACAAGGCAGATCCTGCGAATCCCTCAAAATTGTATTTATTAATGTAGGTGCTAATTGTATTGATTGTATAAACTGTTTATCCATGAACTGTGAAGTGATTTAGAGTGGCTGACTATAGCTAGATAGGGCGTTATTTCAATTGTAGTACGTTATTGATTCATAATAGGTTCGATCTGATAGAAGAAAATAGATAAATAGACAATAGATAAATATAGCAACGCTTAAGCATACAACTGTATAATTGATTTTAACCGATTTCTGTAAAGTACAAACTATCTTTATTCTAATAACATGGTTTTATAGTATTTTTGCATTATTTATATCCTGTGATAATTAAACATTTCTTTTTAAATTGTTGTAAAACTTCGCTATACTGCCATCATTTATCCAGAAAGATTTTGACGGTAAAGGTGGCGAAAACCTAAGGAAATGTGGAAACGAGGCAAAAGAGAAAAAAGGACCGTAAAATTATTGACGGTAAGCGAGGTGGCAAATGAATCGAGGCCATTTTATCGTGTTTTACTGTAATTAGAACCATATACATGTAGTAATGCTTATTGTATTTGAATGTGGAATAAGGTGGATGAGGAAACGAAAACGAAACAACATACAACAAGGTATAACAGAAACCGTCATTCGAATTAATAATCAATGAAACTGCAAGGAGTACAGGGCATTACCGTGCTGGATTTAATTTTGGAATATGAAATTTTCAGCAAAATATCCATAACCTCACCCAATGATGGTAGGGAAAGAACATTTATTTCTTGCAATTAAATATACATTTAAATATAACAAGATATTATTGGTGATGTTAAGAACATTTTGTAGCTGATTGTCGGTGCAAGTCAATAATACAATTATTGCAATGAGTATCTGTTTTTTTTTAAAATAAATCTTTAGCTGTACAGTTAAGTTTTATATATATGTTTTTGATATGTTGCTGCTTAGAAAATGATGCTTTTTATAGTAAATAAACGTATATTAACATCACTTAAACAGACGAGAATCTGAAGTGTGTAATTGTACATGTTTGTTAGTATACATACCTAATTAAGTGTGTAATGTTACATGTTTATTTGTATACATACCTAATTAAGTGTCTCCGTTGACCTTCACTTGATTAAGGTATTTACTGATATCTGAATATGGATTAAGATACATCTCCATAGCGTGCACATGTTGTGAGGCAACTTTGTCATCTAAAATCGTATAAAATATTTACATTGCTATATCACAGTCAGAACGAACTAGGACATGCGACCATTTACCTGCCTATCGGTGAATGCGGGTTGTTTGTCCTAGCGGCTGAAGTCTAAAGGCTGTGAAATTGACATAGATTCTACTGTGTGCTAGGTTTTATTATGATAAATGCTAGGTTTGAAATATACATGTGGTACATCTTAAAGTGATTCACTGACTCTCTCACCAAAATATTACGACACTAGTCTACAGTTTTATGCTCTTATTTACATTATATAATCTCCAGCTTTGTCACAGCGTGTTTGTAGGTGTAGTGTTGAAGCAACGCATTGTCATTTATTTTAACATTATGCTGTACGCTTTAAAATAGAAACGTCGCAATATGCTATATTGGACAGTAAGAGTTTACTCATACATGTACCTTAACTGCGATATTTCATAATAAGTTATTACCATTTTATAGCGGTATTTGTTGAGGTAGAAGGCATATTGGGCTATTATGTTTGACACGTAGGTTATCCTCCTTTGATTTTTGTGTGAGTTTTGGTGGTGGAGGAAAACCGGAGTTCCCGGAGGAAACACACCGACCTACGGAAAGTACCTAGCGATTTCACCACGTAGGTCTCGAACCCGCAACCCAGCGGTGGAGGGCTAGCGGTAGCAGAATGTCAGATGCCTTAACTACTTATATTAGCCACTGTGGCCCCAGTCATCATTTTCTCATGTATTTCGTGTCTACCTTAGGTGAACAGGCTGCTACTTGATTTCCCGTAACATTTTCCCTGTATCTATCGCTTTTCTCTTGGTGACTCCTTAACTCCTGTTGTAAGCATTGTTCCGATGATGTTATGGTATATTTTTTTTTTTATCTTTTTACTTAATAAAATTTAATACCTCAGCACACTGAAATACCTAACGTATTTCATCAGATACACTAGGTTTGATGGGATGAAAATGTCTGTCTATCATTGTGTGTGACATTGTTACGGCGACGTGCATTGCACACACACAGTTTAGTATAATAGCTAGATAATTTGAACGTCTTGTCCGTTAGATTAGGCTTACCCTTAGCTTCCCTTATTTTTTGTTGCTTTGTCCTCTTCATATCTCCATGGGTTTTTTTGGGTTGTCTTCTTGTCCAAGTAGTTGTGGCTTTGTCTTATGTATATTATGTTTTGGTGTCAACTTTTAAACCATTAGCTCGATTAGCGAGAATTGTGTGTAGGGTATCTCTATGAAATACCGCCCGGAAACAGCAGTATAACGGTATTCCTCATTCAAATACTATTGTAAGTTGACGATAAAACTTTGAACTACTAAAAGAAATACACCTTAATATATTCTTTTCGTTTTTTATTTATTTGTTTAAATAATTCCTTTCTTGATGTTTTTCCCTAGTCTCGTCGATTTTGAGTTTAAATAACACGCTGGTATTCTCTTATAATACATGAATGACGTCAAGATCACGTGATGATAGGAAAAAATGTTCAGTGGTGTATGGTTACCTGAAATCGGCTGATTTTCTTTTGTTTATATAAAACCAATATCACCCATCGCTGTTATTATCAATTTATCTCAAAAAGTGTAAACAAAATAGGGATTGTGTTTTGTTTATATACAGTATATAAAATTGTCATCCCTTGCTGTTTTTTGTCGTCGAACAGCAGTACGGTTTCTCAAATCTTCATCGAACCATAAGATGAATGATTCTGTCTTCAAGCCTCTCCAAAATTCGAATATCTCAAAAGTGTAGAGGGTATAATCAGTGACATTATTAGTACAGCTTTCTTTATGCTATGTTAGTTTAAACCATTTGGATTTCCAACTGTTTTGCCCTTAGTATCATCGAGGAGTCCTAGAAGGACGAAACAGCTGCGTAATGCTGTGTTACTTAATTCTTTACATGTGTAGTCACCTGTGTGTGTTAAGTTTATATTACGGGGTTGCTCATGGATGTTATATGTATAAAATATACATGTGCGTTAACATTTTGACTCCAGCAAATATACTCTTTTTGTATAATCAATCATTTTCTTTCTTCCCTTAAAACGTTAGGTAGCAGGATATACAGTTGTGTGTATTGGCCATGCATTTTTAATCTAGCATAATACTATTGTGCACTTAATTCACAGAAAACACCGAAAACAGCATGGAATAATTAAAAGAATGCATTTAAGCGATATTGATAAAATTAATGTCAGACTTCAAAACAGTAATTAACGGGAAAATTGAGTCGTTATTTTGGCATTAGCTGATAAAATTTAGATTTCACACTTCTGTCCATGTTTCAAATTTCAAGGAGCAAAAGTGAACGTCATTTCCTAGTTCCTTTTTGTTCTCATGTATTCTAATGGTTCGCTGATAGTTAGTTAGAATGATACCATCTGATTCACTTAAATACTTCACGTAACATATCAGTCAGATTACGTATGTCAAACGCTCAAATGAGCTAGATCAAATAAACCTTATTGAGAGCAGTAATATTTTAATTGTCAGTTCAACAAAAGTTGTCGTCAATCAGTGCCGAACTGTTACAGCATGTGATTAACACTGCCGAACTGTAACAGCATGTTATTAGCACTGCCGAACTGTTACAGCATGTAATTAATACTGCCGAACTGTAACAGGATGTTATTAACACTGCCGAACTGTTACAGCATTTTATTAACACTACCGAACTGTTACAGCATGTAATTAATACTGCCGAACTGTAACAGCATGTTATTAACACAGCCGAACTGTTACAGGAGGTGATTAACACTGCCGAACTGTTACACCATAGTATTAACACTGCCGAACTGTTTCACAATGTGATTAACTGCCAATCTGTGACAGCATGTGAATAACACTGCCAAACTGTTACAACATGTGATTAACACTGCCGAACTGTTACAACATGTGATTAACATTTACATGTATAACAACATAAAATCAACACAGAAAACAGACAAAGTGTGTGATATTGTTTCTATTGGCTTTAATGCGTTCCTCTTGTGTACCGAACTGATGTCAATACACAATACTCGACGGGACATGGTAACGTTATGTACATAAACAGATATTTTCGTATGTACACGATTTCTTTAATAAATATGTCTTTGGCGTATGTAACAGTTACGATACAATTGATATTTACATTAAACAAAAGGTTTGTTGGGCCTGTAAAAGGGATGCCCTTTACAGTAGGATATCTAACTAGGAAATCCCTTACAACGAAAAGCATATATATATAGATTACTATAGACATTCGAATTTCACCTCAGTGAATCAATAATGGACCAACAGATATTTACTATACATTCAGCTTAAACAGTAAGTAACGTACAACACTCATACTTCATATAATAAAAAAAAATTGTTTACAACTTGACCCGAAAGGTCTGATTTCAATTTGAAGTGAAACATCGGTATTTCATAGCTATTTCATCCAAAATGCATCAAATATTTTGTTTTAACTTCCAACAAAGACCCCCTCTTTAATGATTAAAATATTATGACAGAAACAGACTTTAATTGCATTCGTCATTGATGACCGTCATTAATGACGTAACTACCACTATTATACAATGTTAAATATAGATACTGGCCGGAGTGTGTTTCTCTCGCTCAGACAAAAGTAATCGATAAAAATAACTAACCGATAACTTAAAAAAAGGAAGAAGAAAGAGATTTTTCCTCATTTGATCCAATAAAATCAACACTTAATTCCAAATTAAAATTACAATGATCGATTATTCTAATATTGGTTTGATTATGTATAATTTAAATTACAAAAATACAATAAATAAGTACATTTTTAAGTATTTTACAACTTAAACAATTCATTGCATTAACTAGGAAACAATCAATATTGTTTGAACTTTTCAGAGAAGTAGTTTTTTCTATATATGTATATATACCGTCTCCACTACTATTGTTTGTTGACAGTGGCAGTGAAGCGGCCATTAGGTAACGGTAGACTTGGTATAGTTAGAACATGACGATGGCTGCATGGGGGTATCCCTGAACAATCAAGTAATTAAATATAGACAGGTTCTAATGCTTATAAAGGATGTTATTGAATTAGGGCTACTTTCATTTAAGCCTAAATACAGACTAGACGATAAATTACTCGATAAGATGACCAATTATTCACACATGCATACACCATCCAATCATATCTCTCGTAGTCGTCCATGCAAAATGACTTTGACATATTAGTAAACTTCATATTATTTCCTGATAATTTGTTGCCTTTTTATGTGATATTCATACTATGAGCTTTCGTAAAAGATAGAAATCCATCAAGACAGCAGATTTTTTTTTTATCAAAAATCATGAATTGTTATGCAGATACGAAGAAAAAGTGTCTTGGTATAAACTGCTCGTGTTTCATTGGTATATCAAAGTTAGGTTCAAACATTTCATTTACTGTTAAGATTTATACCAATATGTAAACAACACTTTGTTTTTATAGAGTTTGGCGTTTCGTAAGTCACCATTGAAAGGACAAGCGTACAGTGTTCGGAAGTTGATAAGAGCACAACTTCTTAATAATTCAGTTAATTCTAGTTCGTTATGTTTTTACGAGGTATCCTATTATATGAACTGATCGGATAAGTAATGAAGTAGCTTTGGTTACAATGTATACTGGCATTTTGCATGGTTTTTTTTCTGTTTACTAGTAACTAGTAATAAACATTAACCTTAACTGTCAATGTTGACAAAACTGCAGTTCGAGGATGGAAACAGAAACCCCTATACTGGAAAAATGAAACAGATGTACGATTGCATACGGAAATGCATTTAAATACCCGTTTTACCGACCTTTTTATCAATATTGAAGATAACTAAAAAAGCCAGTGTTCTGCCGTCGGTGATCACACGACCCTCGGGCAGATGACACTGTTGACGCCTGTTCACCCTTCAATGTGCTAGTACAAGAGACACATACCAGTTTGGTAAATGTTGCTAGTCTGAAATAGGATCAAAACGTTCAATGGTTATTCAGACATTTAGCCCAACTTTAATCCATGTTTTTTTTTCTTCCATGGTGGTTATTTTCTCAATGACGTCATCATCACCGGCACCCGAGGTAGCATTGACTTGAGCGTCTCAAGGATTTGCATTTTCAAAAATGAAGTTTTCTATTGTCACCGATACGTGGGTCTATCCAGTACTGACAATGACCGGACGATATATATAGATATATATATATATGTATAGCATTTATGTGAATGGGAGATGAATACGTTTTACTGGCATGAATGAAAATGGTATAAAATATCCAATACGAATTGCCATTCACAATATACAGTGTAGATCCAGTCCTATCTGGCGTGTGGCCGGTACAGCCCCACCATATCACATGGGTGTTTATCCACCCCAACACGTCTGTTTTTTTCGAAAGACAATACTTTTGTCGCACTGAACTGCTCACTGCTCATTTTACGGACCTCTTTCGGTCTATTGATGGCGCACTTTTGTTGAGATTTTTATTTCCCGATCACATGATCAATAGCATAGCCTGATGTCATGGTTTGGAACACATTCTTCCACACAATGGGACCACGTAACCAGTCGTAGGAGTCCAAACGATGCAAAACTCTGCACTTTGTTTGCGTATTATCGCAACGAAACGATAAAATGTTATGCGATATTGCCGAAAGGTTCCTTTTTCTGTACTGGCCATGCCGCTTGGGCTTCGAATTGCTAGGAATAAAGCATACAAAAACAGCGCATGGGCATGCGGAATGTTTTCAGCTTTGGTCTAGCCTGCAGTAAATTACTGGTAATTGATTAAATCCTAGGGAGAAATAAATAAATTTCATCTTTTCACTTTATTTCGATTTTTTCGTCGTCCATTCTTTTTCGTACCATGACCATGCCGATGTTTATGCGATTTTTGAATTCTAGGCTTGTGCCGCCTTGTCCATCTTATATACGGCCCTTCTGGGTCGTAATTAATTAAAGCGTCATCGGTCCAATCGATCGGAGGCCTAGGCTGTTGGGGCCGGGCATCTAGTGGCGTTACAAGGAATTGAAAACACTTCTTCATTTTGGGGGTTTTGTAGAGGTATCCAGGTAGGGGTTTGCCGAAACCCTTTCGTGATTTTCTTCTCCTCTTCCTAAATCCGATGTACCAATTGCTGTTCAAATTCAGTCTGAATTCGTCATGTTTATTGTTGTCGTTTACGACCCAGTTGAAGGTACAGTATTCCGAATGCCTTTCCTAAAAATAAAAGAAAGAAATGAAGTAAAAATGCGTGTTCGGACATTTTTAATGATTTCAAATACGGGAAGAACCATATCTATGCTGAACTGAAAGTGAGTTTCCATTCCATTTATAGAATTTATGCTTCGATCAATAAATGATAATGAATTATCATTTATTGATCGAAGCATAAATTCTATAAATGGAATGGAAACTCACTTTCAGTTGAGAACTATTTCTCAAGTGTATGGCTAACCCTATTTTCGTTATGAAACAACCACCGTACGCCGCTATAAGGCTTGGCTAACGTCGATACTCAATTGTGTCGTTTAAAACCAGGTCAAAACTCCTTTTCTAGTTCTCTTTTCTCCCAAGATGATTATCATGTTCCAAAAGATAATAACTTTACACACTTGTCAAGTCCGTCCTGGTCTGTCTCACTGTGTAACTGATCAGGGATTCGATAGTGCTTATATACAGTTACATGACTAAGTCACACCTGCATAGGAGCATGTTCAATGAAACGTTTGCACCTATTGTAGTCAGAGTGACCTAGACGCTTATCGCGTTTCGGGTTCGACCATGATTCCACACTTTGCTATCCGGAATGCATTGAGAACCGTCCAACGTTCCATAAATCGGTAATTGACAAGGACATATTGAATTGTGCTTAAAATATCCTTGATTTATCTTGATTTATTACTACAAATATGATCCTAAAATGTACGAGACTGCTAACAAAAAAGGTATTAGACCTATTCATGCGCTTTTAAAATGTCCAACAAGCGAGCATGCTTTGGTTTGCTGCTTAATACCTTCAAGCGATAAAAACATAAAATCAGCGATTGGTCATGAAACGAGAGCTTATCCGGAACAGCCCCCCAGAAAGGGATGATAGGGGATTTAGTGCAATATGTATGGGTCCTCACTATAAAAAGAAGGGTTATTCTATATTCTGTCCCAGGACCACGGTCTACCGGCTCGGCTACTCGAGTGACACATATGGGTCGAGATCACTTTAGAGGCAGGCATATCTGCGATCCGGTCTATCATTATAACATGTACACAACACTATAATTAGCCCGGGCGACACAGGCGTACAGACTTAATTTAGCACTCAAAAACCACAAAACATGCGGCAATGTCGGGGAAATAAAGGTTCCCAATGACTACCAGCCATTACATAACATACAAGGCTTTTTATAATAATGGCGGCTAAGCGATCACTTCTTAATGTAATATCAACTCAACATTATTGAAAATGCTTTTAAAATGTACATTGAAGGACAGCGCCTTATTCTTAAAGCTACCGTGCGGGTTCCGGTTCTGTTATATACGTACAACCTCATGTTGACACTGTTTGCTTTCCTATAATTCTTATACTTTCAATTCATAAAGAAGTTGAAATTTCGCCTGACCAAAAAAATGGCAAACGTTGCTGAGGTGCTGCGAAGAGCTTCTAGAGTATGTCAAACTTAAATTGGTTTCGCAAATTTTGAGAACGAAATTGTCAACTGATTTTCACAAATCTTAAATAATGTATTACACCTGCCGAAGGCAAGCAGACGACAAGATAACAACATACAAAAACAAGTTGTCATACAGGACATATTCATAAGATTTTGACGTCATGATTAATATGCAATTTATATTGGCACAAATAAGGTATATCAGTCACATGGGGAACTCCCTTGAATAAGTACCGTTCTTTCTCTGAAGGACAAGTTAAAGTCGAGTCATTTATAAATTTTGAGATTTCTTGTCGTTTCTTTATTTAAGTTATGACAGCTCGGTCGGTGGAGGACTGTTCAGACGAGAACAAAAACTGCCGGAGTAAGAGGTGTATATGGGTGATCGTTCTTTTTTCTTTACTCCTTATTCCACGACGATTCGAGTGACACATGTTTTTGCTTCGACGAGCAATGGTACAATTCACACACACCATTCCATGCCAAAATCGGGTTTGACAGGCAATGTCTATTTTATCACATCTATGTATACCCCGAAATCACGGACAAAACCTCCTATCTCTTGAGTAATTCTGAATGGCTATTGGGTCTGAACTGATCGACACTGTATAAGAAAGGGTCGATCAACCTCGGTTCTATGGTATCATCACCGTTATTGTTGACAGTGACACCCATATCAGGATATCGCCCGCAATGTTTTGACACACTTGTAGCCAAACGCTTGAATGTCCCACAAGAAGGACTAACATTCCTATCGCTATGCATATGAGATTTAAATAACACGACACTGTTGAAAATACATCCCCGATTTTTTTTTTATAAATATTTGAAGCGGCTTATAAGTTTAGTGTAAACAATTGTCTGCCTTTCAAATGGTATGATCGGTTATTGAAGTGATTTTATATTCACTACATGCAGTGATGATGTTAATGTATTTGTCGCATGAATACAATGTCTGTCTGTCTCTCTTCCTTTTTCTCTCGATCTGTCTTTGTCTCTCTCTCTGCCTGTCTCTTGTCTGTCTTTCTGTCTGTCTATTCATTCCTCTGTCTGTCTTTCTATCTGTCTGTCTCTTTAATTTCTGTGGTTTGTCTGTCTGTATCTCTCTCTCTCTCTCTCTCTCTCACGGGCACGAATTTTCATTTAATTATTCTTTATCTCAAATTGTCGGTACAGTAAATTTGGCAAAGAAAAGCCAGAACGAGCACTTATAATTGGTAGTTGGCACATAAGCGATGCACGTTTTTGTTTCATATTTGACCTAAGCGACCTTGCGATTGCACTCTTAAGATAACCGAAAGCGCGTGCTGTCGGCACCCTGAGAATGTTGGCAGGTCGTGTGGGGGGCGGTGTGGTCCTCATCAACCATACCTAGTCCAATATGGCGGTGTATAGCATGCAGAGCAGACTAATTTTTTTAAACGTTTACTTAATCATTTACATCAACGCTTTAACAAAAATAATTGCCGTATCGGACACTATTCTCAACATAAACATAGGAATTAAATGTCTGTTTACCACCGCGGACTCACTCAGTCAATTCAATTTAAAATTATGCTCTAGTCTTACTCTAAAGAATCTCGTAACTGCGGTTTTAACTGTTTGAGTCATTTCTATTTTGTTTCCCATTTTGTTTTAAGCCTGCCGAGTTTCGTGGTGTTCAGAAGATATTATAGTGTATAACGACTTGACGTCTTACTATTTTTACACGTTTAATGTGTGTTCCGGTTGATTCTGGTATTAGCGAGAAGACGTAGCGGTTTCTATGTTGTTTTAATTGCCCGAGGTGTTACACTGTAAAATATCGGTGTTGGATAAGTCTTGCCAGGCTATGATGATATAAGCAAAAAAGGTGCATGTTCGTTTCAAAAACTATAAATCAACTTGAAAATTCAACATATATAATTTTTGTAAATACATTTCTTCCTTTTTGCCGTCATCAGTCAGACAACACAGGTGTTCGCGGTTAACATAAACTAGCCCAGGTGTAATGACTGTCTTCCAAAGGAAACAAATATATGAATCCTAAGTAAGACAGAACTCCTATCTACTATCGTACTGCTGTGACGACAGCCGCGCCTGGTGAGGAATCCTATGGCAGGAGGAATAGAGATTTATTACGTAGGCCGGTCAGCCTTCATGTTTCCGAAATTCTTTAGGACATATCAAAGCAAACTGTCACACTGGTGATTTTTATTACATTTTTGATCATAACTGTCCCCGGTGTTGAAATAAGGACTTGGGCCCTGGAGTGACTTACGTGTTACCTTTTATAAATATACCTGGAGGTTTCAGTCCATGAAACGAAGAAACCGCACGGACCCATTCATTCAAAAAATTAAAAATGTTAATGTTCCAGGTATGTGTTCTGATTATGTATTTTGAATAAAATTAGAATTTAATCAGGTACAATTATCTGTATCTTAGTATGGGAGTAAGTATGTTTTAAGTGATATCCGCATAGTAACGCTAGAATATTTAATTAAATTTTATACTAGCACGAACTTGACAAGCATGAAATAAAATTCACAAATATTTAATGTGATGATGTCCTCTTCATGATTTCAAATTCATTGTTCTTCATTAATAATATTTACTTATTAAAGTATCGTAATGTTGATGGATGGGACATAAAAATATCAACACCGATTTCAAGGGGATGGGAAATAGTAACGGTCAGAACTCAGCTTACAGGTCAAACACCTCCTACTTGTCATTTGTTTTAAGGAAATAAAAAAGTCAAGTCTTAATGTTTATCACTTCTTTCTTATAACAAACAAACGCAAATAATCCGATATTTGCCCAACAGTTAATAAGCATGGACATTAGTACTATACGAAATTCAAAATTCAGATTCGATCCTTTCAGAACACATTCATCAAAGATATTGCATAAGGTTATGTTGTATTGAGTTTTATAAGGCAATATGCTAAGCAACATTTCAATTGCATTTTTTTGGATAATAAGGCGAAGAAGAACTATAAAAAAATTCCACTAATGACAAAAATATTCTTAATTAGCAACCATACCGAAGGCTCGGGCTAAATAAGAGTATCTGTAATCAATTCCTTTCATTAACGCCGAATCTAGTCAGTTATATCATTCTCATACAAAACATAGATATCTTTTGTCTGATGAATTGATTAAAAACATACATTCAAACGCTTTTGAGATGTTTTCCGTATCATTTGCAGTATATGATGTTCTGGTGTAACTTTTTACTTACTTTGGCACGGAGCTTGCCCCGCCTGGAATAACACAAGTACAATCCACTTGTCTCCCCCTTTATCCTCACAAGACCTTTCTGCCCTATCGATTCGATGATAATTGAGGCTGGAAAAGAAAAACATTTTGGTAACGTCTTCTGTGAAACATGTTTGCATATGTTCTCCTTTATCAGAAGGGAGGAAAGTTAAACATGCAAAACGAAAACATTATGTAGTACAATGGTTGTACAAGGAAAGGAACAAAAACTCAAAAGGTACTGACAAGAAGACATCCAAACAGAAGGAAATACAACATGAGTTTAGTATTGTGCATGGTCGAGTTGTACAGCTGCCCGTTCTTCGGGGCCTGTATTCATGGAACCGTACTCGTGCTCATTTTGTCCAGGTTTTGGAAGATTGTTTCGAGAGACTTCAAACCAAACACTGTTTTCAATGCTTACAATTGACTTTTGACCGGATCACATGATTTAAGCGCGAGGTACAAGAAATATGATGTGTCCACATCATCCATGCTGGAGCAGAAAGAACAACTTCGCGAATACAGGCTCAGATCATGCAACAAGAAAGTTCCATGCTATGAATAGCATTTGAACTTGATGACTAGACAGATTTTGGATGACTTAACATCTCTTTTTTTGAAGGACCATGACGCCTATATTATCTAGCATCTTAATTGATGTAACCACATTCGCTCATGCTTCTTACGTCCCTGAAACATGCCCAATTACCTGGGAAACTCTGTGTCAGACTAGTATGAAATTAAGTCATAAATGTATGATGGAAATGACAACAGCAGAAATGATCCCTAGGACAAAACCTGTAAACTAATACGCTTTTTACGAGATTTACGAACTTGGCCAATTTAATTGTAGGTAGGTGTATAGACTGGTTGCATCGCGTGATATTCCTTAGCAAGTATTATCATTTCTGGAATCCCTGCTATGCTTGCTAGCCGTATACGTATCAAATAATGTATTTCTGACCTATCAAACAGATGCTCTGTGTTTAATTTCAAAGTATAATATCAAAACAGTGCAGGGGGTTTGTGTCTTCTTGACGTGGACATTTCCAACCTTTCCCTAATATAATATTATGACACTTTACGTAGTCTTGTCACGTGTAACAATGAAAGAGAAATAGGAGAGGTTTGTCGGAAACAGCGACAGGACTACATGTATGAATACGTCCAAAGGTTTCATATGTATTTTTATATCATATTTTGTTTAAACGGTCACAAAAAATAGAGATTCTCCCGTCCTATAGGTTGTTTGTAAAAGTGTTTAAGTCTCACCAATCGTAAAAAAAAGTATTATCATTATATTTGAAATATGTGTTATGTCCTACATACATTACAAGAATAGTTATGTGAGGAAATTTACATTGCTTAATTCTCCATTAAATTAATTTTGACTCCATTAGATTAATTTTGACAAAGAATCTGATTTTTTTCTTCCTCCCTCTCTATTGTCTCCATTAAATGTTATTCCTTTGGAAGGGGTAGAGTAAATATTGGGTCAGAAGTTGAAAATATATGTAATATTTAATCTTCTTAAAGGCATCACCAATACAGTGATGCCGTTATGTGTCTCTAATCTTCGCATTTGAATTTAAATACACGGCCTGTTGTCTGCCACAAAAGCGAAATATTTTGGGAGATCTTATTTAATCCCCCATGATTATACACTGTATGACTGAATATCTCCTGATGAAATAAAATTCCATTTAGTTCAAAATCAAATTTAATTGACAATAGCTTAAAATGGGATGAACGTTTAGGGCTGTGTAAACCTATCATCAGCGTTGTAGAGGAACTTCGATAAGAATACCAGCTTTGCATTGTTGAGACCCTGTCTACCACTGATACTGTAGTCCAGAATTCGGTGCTTAATATAGTTAGACCTTGAATGAATAAAATACCTTTAACTGGCAAAGTCTTTTTTATTATGCAAGTCGGCACAATTCGTATGGCTCATCTTGAGATAAATACCTCTATTATTTAGAGTTTTTTTGTATTTTCTCCTACCAATCCGAATAATAACTGTCACCAAAAGTGACATATATTCTCGCTTCAAATCGAGGTCGAGCATGGGGTGCATGTTTGTAAACAGTGCTGGGATGATTTAGGGAACATTTTATACGTAATTGTCGATTACGCAAACAAATGTCGGGAACGATTGTATTCAATCCGTCTGCTAAAATTGTTTGAACAAATAAGAAAGTTTATTTTACAATTTTCACATTCTTGCATCTGCCTTCTAATAGAAAACTGCACCCATTTCACAGGGAGGAATTTTAGCAAGAGTAACACTGTACTGCTGAATAAACAGACAGTGGTCTAATGTTTATTTCGTTGTTTATCATTACCTTATATGTGATCGAGTAGGAAAAAATGCTCTGCCACTTTATACAAACAATGACACTAAGGGCGTACAATGTGGATGTTGACAATTAATCTTCATTTAAAAACAAAAAATGTTGTTATGTTTTACTTTTCCGTTCTTTATGAATGGTCCAAAATGATCCTGAAAATGGATCTAATATGATCATTTTTTTCCATATACAATAAAAGTAATATTTTCAAATAAGTATTTAGTAAGTTAGTTAGAATTAAAGGATAATTAATCTAAACGAGCCATGTTGCCTTGAAATACATCTAACTTCAACAATAACTATTATGATGAAGGTATATAATCTTACTGTAATTGGCGTGTTTGTCTCCTTTAGCGTCGACACCGTTCCTGCCCGGTTTACGAATGCGGAGGAAGCGTCCCGTGCACCGATTCCAAACACTGTAGCGGTATGAAAGTGAAGATATGACGTCACCAGGATTTGTTTCTTCGGTATCTGGCACACTTTCAAAATCCTTAATTTGAAAAACCTGCAAAATAAAACAAGGAAAATATTTAACTTTCAGTGTACTCATTGACATTTATTGGAAATAATATGTGAAGTAGAGTAAAAACTACAACTACCATACAACTGGAGCATAAAGCAGCTGAACTGGTAACAACTGATACCGAGGTAGCAAATGTAAAACAGCATCAATGTTTAAACAAAAACCGAAAGACTGACCTATACAAAAATGGGTCTCATTTATCAGGGTAGTGACAAGGAACGAGTAAACTAGCTTCATATAAGTATCTCTTTTCATAGTTATTCAACAGCGGGTTTTTTTTTAAGAGGACTTTCGGCACGAGAAATGTCGCATGTCCAGAAGAATGTGTTCACCGAGGTGGAATGACTGACGTGTTATGATTAGAAATGATGGATGGTATTTGGACACGGGTCGGACTTCAACTCTTCGCCTGCTCGGGTCATCTGGTTGTTTCGAATCGCGATAAAAACGCCAGTAAAGAAGAGTCAGTGAACTGGTACGGGTACTAGCCTGGGTAGAACTCTCTCCTAGCGGCAAATAGGCACAAGGAATGCCACTATCGCCAAGATCACACAATTTCTTAACCACTAAATGGGCTAGAATGACCCTTTGTTGGCAATGAACTTATTGGTGAAACCAGGAAATCGACACATCTTATTCAAAGCTTAATATTGTAAAGTTCAAATCGGTGTCATACTGGTCCTACGGGTATTTCGTTTAATACATTTAATACATTTAGTACATTTAATACATTTAATACATTTAACTACCATAGTTTGTGGTGAAGATGATCAACAAATCCAGATAAACCGATCGTCAACGAAATGGTTACCCCATTAAATTCTACCAAACCAAGTCTAATAGACATGTTTAAAGCCACTTAACTATGTCACAAAATTCATTAGAAGTGATAGGAATCATATTTTTGTGTTTTTATTTTTTTATTTTGTTAGTTTTTATTTTGTACCATATCCTATAATTTACTCTTTATGAAATAAAACACCTAAACCAAACTAGTGGCAGTATACAAAATATGTGATAATGCTGGACATACATTAATTCTAAATTACAGCTCTGAACGCTGTAAAGAAATAAACGACATTTATATACCGGCAAGATAAACGTGTTGTTATAATATGCAAAATTCCAGCTTTTCCATCATTAAGGTGGTCGGTAACAATATGGCGTTTTATGCCCCTCTGTTACCGGCATGTACTGATAAACCGAAATGTACATGCACGCTGATACGTTTAAAATATGCAAGAATGTGGCATGAAAAATGACATATAATGTTATGCTTGTAAGCTCCCGACGCACGAAGGAGTTTTTGTGTGAGAATATCCTCAATTATAAGCGGTGACTACGCTCAGATACACTTATACAGACATATCTTAACTTACCCTCTTTAAAGGATGATACAGTTGATAATGAAGTATTATTGGAGAAGACAAATAAAAACTTATCAACGTAAACATTAAACAACAAAAAAGAACGATGCGTGTTTTCCACACAAAGCGCGGGAAACCCATTGACAGGTGCACTTGGTGACCACGGTACATTGTCATTAGCGCTGAAAACTTAACAATATAAAAACTGAACCGCTAATATCGCCAATATTTTTGTAAATGTTGGCAACCACGAAACCAAACTGTGGAGTTTGATATTCAAATTTATCTAAATTGAACAAAAGAGATGATGTCACCTGATATATTGTTAGACTCAGCCACAAAAATGTTCGGTTCAAAATGTTAAAGATATGAAACTAACAAATGCTTGAACACTACGGATCAGATCAACAGGTGTCAGATTGAGTTCTGGTGTTACCTTGTGTATTATTTGTTTTCCTATTTCTCTTTAGAATGAATATGGATATATAACAGTGAGATAAGTAAAACCATGAATAACGTAGTTATCTATCAAGTTGTACTTTATGTCACTGTCTAGTACCGATATTTGTTATACCATATTACACTGTCCCATATTGAAATTATTAAACACTTTTACACTGTCTCGTTTTATACATAATATTACACCTACGCGTTTAATACTTATTACATTATGTAACACCTACCCACTTGATATATATATTACATTATTACACTGACTCGTTTGATACTTATATCATTATAGTACACCTACCCGTTTGATACTTATTACATTCTATTACACTGACTCGTTTGATACTTATATCATTATAGGACACCTACCCGTTTGATACTTATTACATTATATTACACTGACTCGTTTGATATATATATTACATTATTACACTGACTCGTTTGATACTTATTAACCACCATTACAGTCTCGAATAATACTTGTTACACTGTGTTACACTGTGTTACACGGTGTTACACTGTCTCCTATGAGGCTGTATATACTGTATAACACTGTCTCATTTGATACTTGATAAATAGGCGTAAGCTCGCTTTACAGTTGCTAAAGTCAGCACTGGTTAAGTTATTTCGGGATAATGAAATTCGAGAGAGTAATTAACTCAAATTGTTCATGTAATCGTTTTAAAGAAGCGTAGACATTAATTTACATAAAACAAAAAACAAGCGTCCAATGGCTACATTGTTCCCCACAGGTTAAGGTGCATTAGACAAGATTTCCAGATTAGGAGCTAAAAAGAGTTTCCACAATATCATCGACGACCTTAATATAATAAATCTGACAAAACATTGAAAGCCTAATTTCCGTGTAATTGATAGCCTCCATCTTGTACTTTCCTATCTGAAAAACATTAATTACCTGTACTTAAGATTAAACTTCACAGGTAAATCACATTACAATAGGTTTCTTTGTCTTGCTCTGGTATTTGTATTCTCAATGACCATCAGCAGCATGTAACAACGTGATGGAGAAAGAAAAAAACCTGTCATCTAAGGATGGTACTTATTTAAAACACAGTTGCCACCAAACGTTAGCCCTCTGACCCTCGTAGTGACAGTTATAACCACAAGCCTTACTTCGCTGACCCGGCACCGGCCGAACAACGACATTTGCCCAAATTCATGACCCTTACTACGTCAGTTGTGTACAGTCGAATTATCTCAGATTATGTAGGCATTAAATGTCACTACTTTCGGCTTTTCATCTTAGTATGTTGTTACTTTCATTTTCAACCAGAATGCTTTGATCAATATCTCGTCCACAGGTGGCGCGCTGCGAGATTTTTATCACACAGAAACGAGGTATTGTGAGAGGTTTTGGGAGGTGTTGTATTTTCTATAACAAACACATTCGACAAGAGCCATACTTTAGGACTCCATGGACATAGCTGGCACGCCTAGCATTATGGTCTATTGTAGATACATTTCACTGTCCGCCATCTTCCTTGCCTTGTGTAACTACAAATACGGTCACGAGCGAAGAAACCCATCCTTGTAATACTTGATAACCTTACACTGTCTTGGGTAAGCCTTTCTTTGCATATGATACTAAAGATAGGCGTAGAACGGAGGCGTAGTAAAGCATATTAAAGACTATGGGTAAGTTACTTGTTGTGAAAGCAATATCAGCGAAACAATAAAACAATAAGATAAAACCGAAATTTGGACAAACCCGGAATTTGAACTCAAACCTGATGAAAGTACGAAAACATTTGAACGAACAAAAGATCTTTTAAAATAGCACTGAAAAACGAAAATAGATATGAGGACAAGGAGTTCCGGAAAGGTAAGCGTCTTTGCTTTTTATCGATGCAACCCATTTTTGAATCTAGGTCAAATCGAAGTACTGTCAAGCTAGTAATGCGAATCATGACAACGAAACCACATTACATACATTATTGGAGAAAACATCGATTTTTTAGACTGCACATATCACGAAGTATAACGTCCATAAAATATTAAGAAATTTTATTAAGTACCATAGAAGTACGATAGTATCAGAATTCGTTTTAAGGCAGGATAATGCTACCCTGGATTGAAATTTATAGAATTCAATTCCACATTACCCTAGATTTTATTTCCTATCATGGCAGACATTCTGATTGATACCGCTCATGGTATTTTTTTTTCTATATGAGCATTAATAATTTTCCTTTCAAAACATTTTTGTTCATTCTGGACATAGTTTAAAGTTCTCTGCTTGAATGTATATAACGATATAATGATTTTCTTGGGAAACAACCTATAAAAATCATAATAAATTCCAACCCCGGTTTTTAATCGGTGATTATGACATATGTACATAATTTCATTCAAAAGCGACAGGGTAGGGATTCCCTGGTTGTAATCTAGCTGCTTTGAAGAAGACATTATCAATTTCCTGAGACATTAAAAGCCACGTCACCGGCTCCAGTGCGTCCAAGATTGTTCATGCATCAGAATGTGTTCGCCACAATTCAGAAAGTTTACAGAGGTCGTAAATAAAAAAAATATATAATTATATGAAATATCGTTATTGTCAGTAGTACAGTACCGATGAATTATGTATTTAATGAAATTCCGTTCCAAATTTTGTATTATGAAATAAGTCAAAATATATTTCACAAACGGGTATGTTGCAGTTTCGTCAGAAATTACATGAAACTTATTATTTTAACATTATGAAATGTGACAGATGTTTGACTAACATAATTGTATTATTTCCTCTACTAGGGAAAGTGAAAAATCTACCATCACATATAAAACAGTCACTTGAACTAAGAAGTTTGTGCCTGGCTTCTGTGTAAGTTTATATATTGTTCACTATTGCAGTTTCTTTGTATATTTGTTGTTTTGTTATTTGCTATGTAGCTATAAATGAGCAATAAAATAATTGAATTGAATTGAATGTTATAGCGTATAACATTACATAATGTATAACAACATTATTTTCTCTATTAGGGAAAGTAACAATAATTATTATACATTCACATTAGATAATGTATAAATCTCGTGTTTCATATGTTTAAGGATAAATTACAATTGAGAAACCGTTACCAAGAAATGTACTGTTGTTTTGATAGTTCCACAAGGATGGTATCTATATTGGATTGATTAATACTCTATGACAGGCAAAACGCTTCTGTGGATGTGGACCCGTCTTATGTTCCAAAATTTGAATAATTTATACCATGTGCTGACATACGGGGTCACCGGGGTCAACTCTACCTTGTCCTTAATACAATATTTGCATTGAAATTTATTACCGTTGACAAACAAACCTCTTGATGGCTATACGATCAGAAAGGGCTGAATAATTTATTGGTGTTTTAAAAAGTAAACTCCTTACATGGACGAATATCATTAGAAAATTATATATACAAATAATTTGGAAATTACAAGGATGAGAACTCACCAATCTGGATCGCTTTCAAATGTATCTTACTTTCAGAGTTTGCTTTTTATATAAAGACCCCTTTCTTTCTTATTGTTGTGGGGTATCCTCTCACAGTGTTTAAACTGAATTCGATTCGCTAGTCCAGAATACACCAATATTTCGGTGGGCGCTCATCACATATAATGCATACAGTATGGGAATTGATTCACTTAAACAGTGTTTTCAAAATATTCTATGCATGTTCGACCGTCAGATCATTACGGTTGAAAAAATGCATCTTTCAAAATATAAAACGTGTTTATGAACCTGTACCTGTAGTCAATGAATTTTAAGAGGTCAAACGGTTTAAAAACGCAACACATCCTATTGAAATGCAGAGCATGTTCCCGTCAGAAAACATTACGCCCCGAATATTCCCCATATAGGGATACAAGCCGCACCGTTCTGCATGACTACCCCATAGAAGAAGTATGAATATCATATCTATGATGAAATTTGTGTATGGCTCTGTCATATCACCTATTTATATGTACACATATCGCTCACAAAAAGAAATTAATACATGATTAAATTCAGATCTGATGAAAAAAAATGCCGACGTATTTGTTTGGCTGACAACACACATAATTGCGGTCGATTTGAAGCTTGAATAGATAGGGAATCGTAGTAAACCAAGTACATAATGTATTTTACTAAAATATCCTCTTGACACTTGCATCCATAAGTAATACAACGTATGAAAACAAACGGAGGACTAGGTTGAACCCATAATAATGTTTTGAAGTGTAACAACTTGAAAGTATTAATGCTCAAACTGAATTATAAACCTATTTTATACTAGAAGATACGTTTTTGGAAATGATACTAATGATGGTTTTGCCTCTTGTCAGATCCTTTCGTTCACATTGACAAAATATTTTCAACTGAATTTATAGAGGACATGTAATTCGGACTTACTATTTCATAAAGGAGGTATTTTTTCTGGCATATCATATTTATTCCGGAATATACGTTACCTATTCTGAGTCTAATTAGTATGTGTTTACAAAATTACCTAAACTGTTTCAAAATATGCAACGATTTAATAAATTAAAGTTGTTTGTGGTCTAATGTCAAGGTCAGCTACAGATGTATTATTATATGTGTCGGTCAGTTTCGGTCAAAATGTGGTCAATTCTCTCCATATCATATACATTTTAATATAATATTTACAATACAATTCAGTTGTAATCGACGGACTACACACTATAAACACTGTTTGTTTACTTAGGACAAATAAAATACTACGATGAAGGGGATCGGACTGACCGCTCGCTGGACAATCAAAGCATGCACAGCTTCGTTATATGATCATATGAACTACATTTCAAATCAAGGTCATGTTGGGGAAAAAATGCATAGAAGGAAAAATACAGTAACTATCTGTTAACATTTATGGCATAATCACTTAAAAAAATAAATCTTTATGTAATTGTATAAAATATGGATTAAAAGTGTGAAATATTTAGTGTAGGTAACTATAACAGACAGGCTGGCGGTGTTTGTGTTAGCCTCTGAAAAGACTTGCGGTCTCGGTAAGGGTCAGATTGACTGTTGCCATTTTTGCTGAGCTTTTCTCAAGCTCGGATGTATTGACATTACTTTTTCGTACCACACGGTTCGAGTTTACCTGTTATGACTAAAATCAAAGACTTGGGATTATACTTTGTTTGTATAAATATATTATTATGTCCACGTGTGAAATGGAAAATCAATTGTCCACATTCAACAACAATCAGAGGTTGTTGACTAACTTCAATTTACTTGGGTTATGATTTTAGCACCACCGAATCATTATTTAATTCGTAAATACACTTTAATCCATTTAATGTATGATTTCCAAAATTAGTTATGTACTACAGGTATGATGATTGACTGCGCGCTGTATCGAATACCTTTTTGTCACATCTTTATTCATGGGTTTGTGGTGGAACAGATTGATAATAAATTACAATAAGTTTACAATAATTATATAGCCTGATTTAGCGACATAAATAACTGATTATTAATGATTTATAGCTTGCATATAAGATCTCCTATGTAGGTAAATTTATATATATATATAAATCAATATTTAACAGAACCCATATAAAGCAAATAACTGTCAATGCAAAACACATGTATTGATTTAATTGTTCACGTCGGAATTCGGATTCTTTTTATTCCACATTTGATTTGACAGGTTTCTACATTCAATAATTAATTATAATCTATTGATAATTATGCTTTGATGAAATTTAATTCTAACATCGCCTATGAATCCATCAATATTTCAATGACACACCGTCACTTAACATGTCAAATTTCGATGGGAGGGCTTTTTTATCCACTGGTAGATAGGTTCATAAAAAAGCAAATTAATTGTTCGATGATCATTATAGACTTTTAATCTTTCTCTGTGATGGATCGCATTTTAATTAGTCTTCGTCACCTTCTAAGCTCCAACGGCCATTAGTGGCGTCAGGGGTTTTACTCCGTGGACTGTTCAGTATACTGAAAGATGGATGCGTAGTCTAAGTTCTTGAAATTACGATCACAAAGCTCGTCTGTTATTCATCGTTTACGTAACAACAAGTTATTACGATGTTGAGCTAGAATGAGGTAAGCCTAGTTAGGATGCTATTAGACAGGAGCAAGATTTCTAAGTTAAAGATAGGTTTTCCTTTTACATAATTATAAGAGAAATTATTCAAAAAAATGAGAATGCAAACTAACCGAACTGCTTCAAAAAAGATTGATAAGTTTAATTCATTTTATGTGGGGCTATTTTTAATCGACATACCACAAGATTTTAGAAGGGGCCCCAGAAGTGTACCTGTAATACGGGCATGGGGAGAGGGATTATAATTTAAATAACATCAATTTCGAATGAAAGCTCATTTAAGGAGTTTTATTTAAATCTTTTCCAATGGTCCACATTTCTATAGAATGCATATCGTGCATTCTGCAATAAAGCATGTTTCATTTCCTTATTTTACCCAAAAGGTGGGGTTTTTTTTAAGACAAAATCGATTCATCATTTCAATGTTACTTTCTGCATAAAATGTTAAACTGAAAACAAACCTGTCGTATTCCGCTGTACTGACAGAAACATGTTATTGATGACACAGGTGTTTAGCATTGTGTTCCACTGTACGTAAATCTTGTTTACCAGTTCAAACAAACTTGTGAATCTGTTATTTTTTTTCTATTGACTAGTTAAATTGTTTATTGTATACCTGTTCCCCTGATAGCAAATCTCGTATGGCGAAATTGTTTCTTTATTCCCATTGTGGTATCAAATCAATTTCGTATTCGGTATTTCTAAGCACATGATGATACTTTACAGACACTCTTTCCCACGTAATGTGGCATGGGATATAGAAGCATGGTATACCGCAAGTTCGGCCCGACATACTTTATTTACAGATAAAGTCACTTTTCTTTATTGCCATTTACACAAATTATGATGAATATGAACATCACTGAGACGACAACTAATTATGCAAGACATTAAAAAAATATTAGAAGGAATTTATCATTTTTGTCCGCTTGAAAAATGACACTTAATTTTATTTCCTGTACTGAGATATCACTTTATCCCCGACTGATATAGCCTTGTGAGCGGAGGTGGTTTTACGCTCCGAGCATACCTCGTAGGGCAACTTAATATGAAATCTAGATGTTTACCTGAATAAATAGCAAACAAGCACATCTACAATGAATATGAAAACGCTCTGTCATCCTGCACAATAAACTCCCAATTTGAATGAATATAAACCGATTAAAATACACTTTGTAATAATAATCCTCACACGTACTAGCTAAATACTCTTTGAACGTAACAAATGTGAAATTCTGAATTATATTATGAAATATTAAGCATTCAAGTAGAAAGAGCCATAGATCTGTTCCTTATCACGTTAGCAAAAATTCATCTTCACTAATATGATAGAAAGTATCAAGTGTAAAAGGATACCCACTGAAGGACTCGACAAGTCAGTGGAAGCTTTGTTTTCTCTTCGACACGTTTTGAACACATTCTTAAATTACCAGATAGCGAAGGTAATTCCTTTCAATGTCAATTTACAACCTTGAATCGAAATAAACATCTCGGTTTTACGACTTGGGCTACAATACCATGCGTTTTACCTCCTCTCGTGGCTGTGTGCCCCCCGACCCGGGGTGTTCGCTGGCGGGTACCATTGTAGAGCGTTTCAGGCGAGGTATAAATACGATCCGAGTTCTAATTAAAGGCTAACGTCTCGGTAATTTGTACCCATGTTACTTTATACAGAGCATCAATCTACATATTACCTATATTAACCCCATTATCCTGGAATGATATATCAGAATATTTATTTTCCTTCAACAATAAGCCCTGTTGAAGTAACATCTGTTTCATCAGTAACACAACACAACACTATTCTATTTCAATGAATATATCTTGCAAATGTCTCGCTTGACGCAACAATTCAAATCGTATAACCGTCGAGTGACACAAATACCTTTCTGAAACACTAATTACTTTTACAGCATTATATGCATACCATATGACGTCAGCAAACATGTGTATTTCGTCATCAATTCTAAACCTACCTGGTTTCCTGAAGCGTTCACAACACACCAATGTAAAATGAGCAGCAGCGTCAACAACCTATAAAATAAACAAAAATACACATCAATCAGCGAACTCCTCACATATTGTGTATTTTCAAGATTTTGATAAGGAATTACTTTTAAATAGGGATGTACATGTATATTTATCTATGTTTTTTTATTTTAGTCTTAATGGGCTAGAATAAATTTATGAAGAATATGTTTAAAGGAGTAAGTAATATCGAAGATCAAAATAGCATACACATAAGACTTATTTTATAGAATTTGTTTGACCAATTTTCATTCTAATTGACGAGGATTTAGCTCACACGTTCGGAATATTACCGACTCTGCACTGATTAGGAGTTTTAAACGTAGATAAAGTTTACGACAGTCAGGGATGAAAACTGGTGAAAGAAAGAACGAAAGTCAGTATTGAAAAATGGGAGGATATCGGGGATGTACAACGTGACCCTGTTGCATACCATACTAGGGCCTCGTCTGTTTTGACTAAATAGACTATTTTGCTTTAGCATTTTACTATAATGGAGGAGTCAGATATATCACATGTATTTATTAGAAACATTTACGACAAATGGCTTCCGCCTTTAAGCTGTTAAAATGGTATGAATCTTGCTCATAAACATACAACGTCGGTCCTATCAAATTTTAAAGGTTCTGCAAGGATTTTCCTATGAATTCTATTACAATGTTTTAAGATTGTGTTCTGACCAGACTCTCGCAGGTGTTCTGTGGGAACAGATTAGAGCCGTATTACCTAGGATAACGACACTTGTAGTCTATATAACTACACAATCCACGGAAAGGAAAACAACCGCTGGCATCAATGTAACTAAACGCCCATGAAAACACCACTGTCTCTGACTCTCCAAGGTCATATATATATATGTGTGTGCTTATACTAAACTGCCATTTATGTAAAACATTTCTCAATCTGGGAACACAAAACCTATTATACTCTCTTGAACACTAAGTATAGCTTTATGTCCAGTACGTGGTTTCGGTACATGTACTTAGGCTCGACATTTTTCCATATTTGTATATTTTTGACATACTTGTCAACGTTCTAGACACAATAACACCATAAATTAATGTGTTATTCTTCAATTACTCAGCAGAATAGACGATTAAGAGCTTGGACGGTGAACAGGTGTTAGACCTCGTTCAAATCACTGTAGTTTCCTTCTTTTATCTACATTTTGTACGACACAATTACCTTCCTTTCCATCCGCTAGTCCTTTCCTGATACTGTGAAATCAGATATATTTTCGTGGGACCCAAATTTCATGGTTTCCCGACAAAACACCATTTCGTGGTTACATAAATTCGTGGATTACGAGTACCCACTCAAACGGAAAATTACTTTATATCAATCTTGTATTTACTTCGTGGGCGTATGAGTTCGTGGATGAAAGTTACCCAAAAAATCAACGAAATTGAAAAAACCCACGAAAAATAGTGATTTCACAGTATATTTTTGTACAAGCTGTACTGAACGTTTGTAAATCTTCCAAAAAAGTTGTTTTGACCTGACTTATTCACTTTTGCTCTATTAAACACATGCTTGTAGTGAATTAATTGACTTTGTTTTCTAAATTATTTATTGAAACAATGTGGGACGAATTTATTTAAAGTTCCCCCATGGTCCGTTCCTATCTTATCAGTATTGGATTCAAGCGAACATTTTGTTTTCAGCTCATGGTATTTAGATTTTGTGTTATGTTTATGTGTAAGACACCTGTAACGTTTACACAGGTGGCGTATTACACAGTTCTGATACTACATCTGTGTAGAAATACTCATACAATTATCCCATCAACACGGTTTATCTAATACCTATGTGGTGTCTCGTTTTCAAGCCAACTTCTCGTAAAACATCTACATAATGTGTATCCAAATACTATTTTTATGTTTAGTTTATTAAACATTATGCACATGCTGATGTTTTCTTTCCACAAATGAATGATATTTACTGGGAAACAATTTACGCGCAGTAACAGCGCACAAAAGGCTTCTGCTTTTTGATGCATTGCAAACGTGCGAATAATATCTAAGTTAAGTGAGCGTTTGAATTAAACGCTTTCAAGCTGATTGATTTAAAAGTTAAAAATGTCTGGTAAATATGTTTGGAATGCTCCCGATACACGTTCTTATGTGGCGCTCACACAGGTGGTGACGTTACTCGTAGTGTTTGTTATAAGGTCTAGTATCAACACATGTTAATCCTCACAAAAGAATGAGAAACAGTGATACTAAAATGTCCACTGAGTACAGGCAGTTAGATCAATATTACTCTACTTTATTACATGTACACATAAGCATTATCATTAGCTTAAAAATCTGATTTACTTCGATAAAAGGCCCCAAGTTCAAGTGAAGGATACTGGCTTGTTCAACCCGTTGATTCGTTTTTAAGACACTAGCACGTATCTCGTTGAACTTGAAAGCTTACATTTTACTATTTTGTATTCTTTCGAAAGCGATTAAGTGTCATAACGAAATGATATATTACATGAGGCGACGTATACCTTAATACTGCAGACACACACTCACAATGAAATTGTTTTACCCAGCTGTGCTTAATACATAACAAACCTTATCACTAGAAATATGAAGTAAGAAAGCACCTATTTGTAGCATAAGTAACTTAACGCAGAAAGCCAAACAAAGAAACCATTTTACTTTAACATATAATAATAATAATTGATAATTCGAGGTTCTTATATACCGCTTTATCCCATCCTAGTTCGTAGGTCGTCTGAAAGCGCTTCACTTATTATTATCCGTGGTTATAGGACCTTTGCAACCAGCCAATATCTTTCTCAACTCCCAAGGGAGCATACAGCCGATGCTGCCATTTCGGCGCTCACATCTAGCATTTAACAATTCTAGCACTGCCCAACCACGTACTCATTTACAGCTAAGTAGATTGGAACAAGCGGAATAAGGTATCTTGTTAAAAGATACAACACGGTGCCTTGACTCAAAGCCCCAATCCTTGGATCACGAGCCGACGTCCTACCACGAGACTACCATGCCTCCAATACATATGGCTATTTCTTCCATATAGGACTCATCAAAATGACAATTGAATTAAGGAAGAAGATTTTTTTTTTTTTATTAAATCCTATTTATTTGTAGCCAAATCTGTGAACATCTTCGGAAGATTTATAAAGATAAAAAAAACTATTGTTCTGTTACCATTGAAACCCACAAGGATACTGCTCCTTATTTTCTGCCAGAAACTCGAGTAGTTTATACTTGTAAAAATATCTTAAGATTCAATATGCTGTTAAAAAGATAATACCTTTTAGTAACACGTTGAATCTTTAAATCTTGAAGACAGGTAAATTGGAAACAATTTAGTTACGTATAATTTTTTTCAACTAGTAATTCACACCTGTAATACTTAAATCAAAAGGTATATGCCCATCCTAATCAATCATCTGTTAAACTGAGTAGCATCAAATATGGGTTACACATATGGGAAGCGATTGTATATACACAATTTATGTTTAACGTATACGATGACGTCATAACCCCAAATAAAGGACATTTATATCAAGTAAAGCAAGAAATAAAACATACATCTTATGTGGAATTTCATTTTAAAATGTAACTGTTACATATAAAATTTATTGTTTTTTCTTGGTTCTTCTGGTTAGTTAGGAGTCATAAATTAACGTTTAGCCTCGGTCTGGAGATACATTGCACGGCGTCTGATCAAAGTGGATTTGCTGGCATTCGCCACCGAGTAACCGATTACGTACATGCACGCTGCTGCACCTGTATGCCTCGCTCTGACCATGGAGGCGTGACCTGTTACCTGACGTAAGAATGTGAAAGTGATTAGCTGACCTCATACTAAAGCAAGGTTAGAGGTCAAAAGAACAAGCTCTCTGAGGTCAAGGAGATACCGTTTGATCCTGTCTACCTTGGTAGAGTGTAACGACATTAAACAAATTCTGAGATTGGATAATAACATGTGTTTGCATCACGCAACGCTAGTGGCCCTCTTTGTAGAGGTAATTATCTTTAACTACAGTAAAAAAAAAAAACTCGCAATCCATGCTGCCACCCAGAATCAGGTACCCTGTTACCTGAGTCCTACCAACAAATGTCTACATATCTAGGATACACTTTGTCAAAACCGAGTGATTGAAATAATTCAGAATTGTATCTCTTTAAGTGTCTATTTTCTGCTCGCATCAACAACCTAAAGAGGAATTAATATGTCAGAATGAACGGTCTAGGACGGACTGTTAAGATCGGGTTAAGAGCTAGAAACAAATTAGTTAACACATAACGCCTACGTTTAACCTGTCATTTACAAGACAACAAAATAACACAATCAACTTCATAGGTTACATCAACTGGCTCAGGTGTGTTAGACAAGGAACCCTAAAACACGTGATTCATGTCACCCTGAAAGTACTAATACAGGCTTTGAAAAGTACATTAGTACTATACTATTGCATTGTCATGCTATTCCTACCTTATAACAATAACGAATTAACGAAATTAACAAACAAACAAAATGGTCAAATATATGTACATTGCGTAACATATGTAGCCACACCCACCCACAAAAAAGCATAATTTATTTAGACGGGGGCAGTGTTTAAATATGATACAGATATTTATGGAATATACAATGTACCTTCAATACTAAATGTCATTTGTGACAGATTTGGATTAACTGCACAAACAGTAAATTTCAAATGATGAATATTTGGAGCATATTTGAATTTCTTAAAGCACACTAGAAGACTGGTAATCTAAATACACCACATCGTCATCACACATTGACAAAATATACAACAGCTTCACCATACAAGGAGAAAATACACCACAACGCCACTAAACAAGACTGACTATTCCACAGCTTCAACATACACCACAACGCCACTACACAAGACTGACTATTTCACAGCTTCAACATACACCACAACGACACTACACAGGACTGAATATTCCACAGCTTCAACATACACCACAACGTCACTACACAATACTGACTATTCCACAGCTTCAACA